GGAATTGCAGGCAATCGAGGAGAACTGGTTTAAAGGATAACAGATTAAACTCAAGAAAATAATTCTCAATTAATTCAGGAGTTGAATTAGACTCGATTCTCTAGAAACTTTCGCCTATAATCTATAATTAAATCATCAATGTATCACACTAACGATTTTTCTAAGATACTAATTTGAAATATGAATTATTATCACTGCTACGTACCCCATTCCTGGTTCCAGAATATGCAATGAGCATTGAGAAGAACGAAGAGATAAATAATTAGTCGTCAGCGATAATAAAATAATGAATCCGACTCCAGAGGAAATTGGCAAAAAAAAAAATGAAAAAGAAACTGCATCCGCTGCGCAAAATCGAAAATGGATTTATTGTACATGTGAACGAGTTTTATTAGCATCTCAGATCTAACAGCATCGCCAATACTCCATACTAAAATTAAATAATGGAAAAGTAATGAAAATATTACGTCTATTTACTCAGTTGCCGCAAATGTGCTCGAAGCTACAAAAAAAAAACCAATAATCTGTGAATCATAAATAAATTCTAGACAATTTCTAGCGTTTACAAATTCAAAAAAATAAATCTGTGCTAAAGGACTCGAAGACAAGCGCAAAACTATTTCGTATTCTCGACCAGCCACGAATATAACTATCAGAAGGAATAATTAATACGATAGTACAGTATTGCATTTTCTCCATTTAATAGATTACAGATATTTATCAGTTGACGTTCGTTTAGTTTAACTCCCTCAGTCCTCAAATGATGATTTTACGACAGAAAAAAAAAAATCGTAACATCGTCCTCATTAATGTACGCAGTATACAATGTATTCGTGACTCTTGATAAATAATTGGTGTAACGAGTACAAAGTATTTATATAGTTACAATGGTTTTCACTCAATTTCACTCTGGAAAACTTTTTAACAATCGACTGATTCTTTATCATTTTCCACGACATGAGTTAAACTATTTAATTTCTAATTACATGAAGACCTCGGCCGACCTTGGAATGAATGACCATTCTTGCAGTTAAATTAATGATTTTTCACGCTATGATTAAAGCTCAGCGGCTAGTCAAGTGTTCTTACTCCAATGATAAAAGCCTCGCCTAAAAATATCTTTATCCACTCTCCAGTTATTTCATTATTTTTTCTTTGTATCTATAAAAGAAAGAATCTAGGGTACCGATAATTGGCAGAATTACCGCCGAGCGACAATTATTATTTGTTTTCCTTAATTCTATACTTAAAAAGTACCAAAAAAAAGGAGAAGAGAAAAACCTATCGGACGACATAGCTGAGTCATCATGATTCTAAAATTTCAGTGACAATTCCAAAATGATATTTAAACATGTGGAAGAAACATCCAATAATCGGTGATGGGATCAATTCGAAGATGCAGAGTACTATTAATCCATTGATCATTTGTTGTTATTTAATCCTCTGTTTTATTGAAATTCAATTAATTCATCTAATATTGTTTTCCATAATGTAAAGTGCACATTTTGTTGTGGTATTTTCTACAGTTTAGTCGTGGACTTTGTAAGGAGCAAAGCCAACTTGGCTTGATGCCATTCGCGATTAAGTCATGACAAGCGATTGTTCACAGTTTTTTTATCCCTCGTGTCTTCGATTTTAATGCAACAGCTGAGGAAAAAATATAGATGAGTCTGCAGTTTTTTGAATAGTATTTAGTCTGTGTGAATGACAATTTTTAGCTGCGAATACTGCCAGTATAATACGCCAATTTATGACTGATCGTCTTTAGAGGTATTATTCCTTTTTCGTATAATTTGTTTGTCAATAATTCATTGGAGTTCCAGTCGATGGAAGTATTCATTACTTTTGCACTAGTCTTTTACTTTTATCATTGAATCGGCAGATTATCAATTATTTGAATTCCCTCAGCTGTGAAATCGTCAGTTGAATATCATCTAATTTCAGTTGAATATCTTCTAACAATTATGACCTAGATCCTGGATTGCCTATAACTTTTGTATCGACTCAATACATAAATCACTCGTCAGGATAATTATTTGGATCATCGATTCATTATTGTTTGTTGGTTTATCTTCTGGAGTTAAAAAGTGGTCTCGATTTTGTATTTTGCGTTGACATTATTACAAATTTGAAATTAGTTCGTTGCGCATTGGACTCGGGACGATCCCTTGTCCTCGTCATACGCTTCACCACGATCTCGTTGCTCCTGGGCATCAGCTATTGGATCAAACTCCTCAAGTATTACCTCCTCAGCTCCATCCGGAATCATTATTTGCTCTCTCGGTGGGAGAATTTGCTCAAGTTTCGTTACAATTGCTGAATCAATTGTTTTTGGATACTCAAGGGTGAAGTGAATTGTGAGTTTTCCACGTGTGAATGGATCACGGTAGATTGGCATTCCCTCATTTTTAATGCACTTGAGATCACCGTGCTTTACGACACTACCAGGGAGTGATGTTATCAGAAGATCTCGATCGTCCAGGGTACGTACAACTTTCTGGAATCCACACAGTGCCTCCACCAGGTTCAGAGTCATTGTCATGAGGAGATTATGGCCTGAACGTCTGTAATTCATTTTTAACAATCATTTATTGCTTCTATCATCCCTAAAATATTTTTATAAATTGCATACGTCATCAATTTTAATGTCAGTTAATTTTAAAAAATGAGAAAACCTGAAATATTCACTTCGCAAACTATTAAATAATCAATTCATAATGAAACGGGAAAATTAGTGGATAAATTTTGATAATTTGTGATAAAGCGACTAATGTAGATTGAAGAAAATTTCGGTAATTGAGGAACAGATTATAATTATTGATAATAAAAGAGAAATAATGGTTGGTGCTCACTTGAATATAGGGTGCTCCTTCTCGTCAAGAATGATGACGATATCGCCAGGCTCCAGTCCAGGCCCTTGATCACCTTCACCACTGAAAACTATTCTCTGCCCATCGATCATACCCTTGTCAACATGCACCTCGAGAATTTTTCTCTCCCTCATTAATTTCCTTCCAGCGCACTGCTTGCAACGATCCCGTGTGAAAAAGTACTCTCCCTTTCCATCACAGTTGCCGCAGGATCCCCTGATCTGCTGAACAACTCCTTGGCCAATTGGATTAATCTGTACAACGATTCCAGTACCATGACAGGTGCTACATTGCTGCGCCGCGCCTTTCTTTCCACCGTATCCTATTTGAAAATAAAATATTATTAATTCTCCTTTGTTTTGTTAATGTGCATTAGCATTCGTCTTCATAATTCGATAATTTACGTACTACTCAGTACGTGCCAGTACAATTACGAAATTTATCAGGAAAATTAATGACAAGCTCTTAAATTGTCATTCTATGAGGTATTAGACTGCAGAAATCTCGGTGGTGGATACAAATTTTTAGAAGTTATTATCGGTGTTTCACAGAGATATGATGAATACATGTTCGTGTCACAACAATTGAAGAATACTCTCCCGCCTATTCTAAGAATTTTCAAAGAATTTTTTCATCCTCATTTATGGTTCCTGAGATAATCCCTATTTTTAACTCTTCACTGGGAATTTTTATAATTTTTTATTAAAACTGAGATGATGTCACTAAACCCTGAAAACTTGTGAGTCACAATATTTTACAGTAATTTTAATATTCGTCTTTAATTTTTTAGTTAGAAGAATGAAGAATTAATGCGGAAATCAGTATTGAATTAAAATCGAATTTCAGTGATAAAATTACTCCATCAAGAATTTCTTACACATCCTTTTCCCAATCAACGAATAACAGAACTTGTTCGTAAAAAACTTCATTTACTTTTTTCTTATTTTATTGTATTTTATCTTATTAGTGCTAAATATTTCTACATTTGGGTTTCAAATGGTGGGGAAATCACTCCAAGGGATCCGCCAAGTTCACAGAAAAATAATGCGTTTGACAATGAATAACAATACCGAATCAAAATGGAATCTCAAATGTTACCGATGTTAAACTCCGTATTTTTAATTGATTTTCGGTAAACCTGACAGATCCTTTGGATCAAGTATCTGGATTTACCATATAACAATATCTCCTCCTCTTTATCATTATTTTTTTGCAACTACAGGAGTGGTTTCTACGATGTCTTCAGACAAAAGAAACAGTTTCTCACCTTCACATTTATCACAGATAATACTCTTCTGCAATGCAAGCTTCCTGGTGGTACCCTTGTAGAGTTCCTCGAGTGAAACGGACAATCGATGGACAACATTATCTCCCTTATACTTTCTGCTACGTGAGCCACTTCCACCACCACCAAAGAATACATCAAATATATCCATTGGGGATGAAAAACTACCGCCCATTCCACCTTCCTTGAGAGCCTGCTCTCCTCCAGTGTCATAAATACGTTTCTTCTCCGGATTTGAAAGGACTTCGTATGCTTGAGAAATTTGCTTGAACTAAAATAAAATTTCAATCACTCAAAATATTGTTCACCTTAAATTCATCAATTTTACTCATCAATCAATACTAACCCTCTCACCCTCATCTGGATTCTTATCAGGGTGATATTTAAGAGCTAATTTTCTATAGGCTTTCTTCAGATCTTCTTGCGGACAGTTGGGTTTAACCCCTAAAATATCGTAGAAAGTCGTTTCCTTCACCATCTTGCTCTCTATGGTCTCAGTGCCTCCAAAAAACTGGAATTTTCTTCAGAAACTACAACAGTATAATAGACAAAAATATTATTCACTTGTACCTAATGCACTCCGTTAACTAATTATTACAGACCACATTCTAGAATTCAGAATAATTCGTAAGAAAGAAAACCACAAAACCACAAAAGGCTTGTTATCAGTGAAAACGCAACGCATAAATTTTTACAATTAGTTGAAATTCATGGATAATACACCCAAAAGTTCACTTTTCCCCTCGCAATAGAAATTAGAACAAGAGCAAGTATATAATGATTGCAAATGTGTGTCAAGTCACTCAATAAATAAATATCTCCTTCAATAATCGAAATAGGAAGGAAAAAAGCAGTAGAATTGTAAACAATGTTTCAGACAGATTGATCTCATGAGACAATGATGGAACACCAAAGCCAAAATTTTAGAGATTTTATCGAAGGTAGCAACCGAGAATTTATTAGCATTATACGAAAATGGCGGACGTTAGCGTCGGGGCATTGGAATCAGCCTTTCTAGTCTAAAATTTTCAACCTGACATCGAGCAGAAAATTACCATTCACTCGGACAAAACGAAATTCAAAAAATTCCAATTGTAGACGATAAAATCCACAGAATAAACGACTGACAATGGAAAAAAGCATTTGGATGGAGCACGTTGTGGTTTTCTTTCTCATGTGAAACTCAAAGCCACGCCAGAAGGTCTGGGCATTGATTAAAAAATCAAATAAACTCCACACGTGAACTCAAAAATTCAAGATATTTTCAATAGAACAAATCCCAGCCCACGTAATACTGCACATAATTACATTATAATTGAATTCTAATCAACAATGCAAATTACTGTACCCTTTTAGAGTCGATTTGATTCGTCAACGTGGGATTATATCTATAGGTGAATGACAACCTTCAAGTGGATTTTGTATGGAATAAAGTGGCGAATTTAATTACGAAACGCAATTGATGGTTGAGTTCGAACGACTAGATGAGACAAATAACTCGCTGAAAAAATGGAATTTTTTTTTTTCATTGATGTATTGATTTTCCCTCGGTAATTCATGATAAATGTGACGTTCACTGATCTCCACTTACCTGGTAACGATTTGATAGTTGATTACTTCAATGCACCACGAATAACGTCGGGAAATTGATTGGAGTGAGTTTACATCGACAATATGACTGCGAGATATTCGACTGCAGTTACACCTCCGTTTCTCGAAAGTTCTCGGTGGATAATGGACGTCGAATGGGCGGTGAACGAGACTAATTGGCTTTCAAAACGGATCCCCAACAGCACTAGCAACTGTTATGCCCTTCAGATGTCACTAGGAAAAACCGCGCCAAAATTTAAATCCACATAAAAACCAATCTATGTGAAACAACAAAATTCCATGATTTATACCAACACTCGGGCATTTAATTGATTATAAATTTATTTTCAATAAAAATTATTAAAAAGTATTAATATATTAATATATTAATATTATTACGTAATTATTGCAGACTGAGATGAAAAAAAAATGTGTATGATTGATAAATAATATCAATTTATTAAAAAAAAATGTAATTATTGATGATTCTATGATCTGATTTGGAGATTTTTCATAATTAATTTAAAATAATAGAATTGTAAAGTAATTGTGAAATATTTGACTGAAAACCGATTGATTGAGAGATTTTTGGAATTGAAATTCCCGCCTTTGAAAGCTGATTTAAATTTCAGGTGTTTATGAAAACGAAATGACTTGTACATTCCAGAGGTTCGACTTTCCTTCGAATGTGATGATTACAAAAAAATGAAGATGACGGGTTTTACGAGATTTTTAAAAATAAAAAATTTACAATCCAATGACGTCATACTTACTATTCATGATTCAATTGCGTCATCAGTAAAATTCAAGGTTTTGATCCTCTAAAAGAAATTTAATCGGTAGAATATCCGTTGAATTTTATATTAGTCTCCAAAAGTGAAAAATTGAATGACAAAATAAATCGAGAATCATTGTTTTTATAATTTATTTACACGTACTACACAATTATACAATACGATATGAAATCCATCCGTATTCCTAGTCCGTCGATTTACCAATAATTGCACATCAATCAATGAAACTCCTGAAAAATTCGTCTAATTCCTCCACATTCTCTTAATCTAAAACACAAATGATCTAAGTGACATGGTAATGACACTAATCGTGTAATTGCACGTTTCCTTCACGACGAGTAATGAATTAATATCTGCAACTTAATATGTAACCAACAATAATCATGTGTAATCAACAAAATGTATTTTTACAACAACAACAAACGCCCAAGAGCGATTTAAAACTGAAAATAATTAAAAATTAAAAAATATTCCACCGATTATTCGATTGAAGGAAAATTTATCATCTCTCTACGAATGAGATTTAGAGTTATTTAAAATCTCACGTCCACACACACTTACAAATAATGTAATTTATTTCAGTATTTGAAGATTTGTACTTGACGTTATGGCGTATGACAAAATATCTTCTAATATTTCTTTGGTTCATTCAGAGATCAAATAATTCTCAGAACAATTTTGGTCAAGTTCCCTCTTATCAATGAACTGTCTCCATCATTTTTAAACCATTAATTTCAGGTACGTACATCAACCCCAAAGATGCTCCCATTAAGTGTACTAATTGTTTCCTCTCCATGTAACAACAATTTACGAATAAATAAAACATGAAACTGTACCCGAACAATTGATCTATTCGATGTTCACTTCAGTATCAACTTGAAAATCCCGACTGTCATTTCTGACAGATCTCAGGTCCTCAATTCCATCCTCTCTCGAATCATAATCATATTCTACGGCTTCTCCATTTTTACCCGTTGAATATGATGATTTATTCAGCAGCGAGCTGAATTCTCCGAATTTTAGGATCTCTTCCATCGCGGAATGTCCTACCGAAACCTAGAATAATTTCATCATGATTTAGTCAACAGAATATCAATAACACATCAAACTATTATTTATTATTAACTCCTTGGCATAAAGAAGTTGCTCTAATCAGTGTTGGACACTAAATCTATTTGGACTCTGAGCTTTTGAACTTTTTACTTTTCCAAATTTCAAGTCCCAGAGGAATCTAGGAATCACTCTTGCCAAGTCTTAATTACAAGAGATTTCATTTCGATTCCTCGGGATTTGAAAATTACGGAATATCAAGCGCTCGGTTCTGTAATCGTATTTTAATATTTTAATATTTTAATAACGAAGTAATAAATCAATATTTTGATTTCAATAGAGAAAAAATGGCGGCAGGAGTTTTCAGGAAAGCCTCGGGTGAATTTTTACTCCGGTAACATCTTTAAATATTAATAAACAAAGTACTGTTCCAAAATATTATGGGAGAGAATATTATCCTCGAAAAATATTATAGGGCAAAACGTTATAGAAAATTTATCATTAGAATTGAAATTTTCTGGTAATAATTATAGTATTGTGTTATAGCATTATATTTGGGATACAAAAATTTCTGGTATACGAGGGAATTTAATTTCCGTTATCATTCACTTGTCGTGGAACTAGTACTGATATTTTTTATAATATTGACACACATATTTCCGTAACCGTGTGTATATCTTTTGAATAATGAATCGAATGATGGAAGTAAATGCGCAAGTAATTATTCTTTTCCATTATTTAGTGCTGTAATATTTTTGTTTATTCGTAATATCTTGTATTGTGACATTTAATCCCATGATATTATGTATTCGTAATATTTAAGGGTGTAACCTTGATTCCAGGCAAAAATATCGAAAGCTCTAAAAAAAAAATGAATTTTTTATCGCGGATTGTTACCGGTCGCAGTCACGATCCGACGTCCCAGGGGGGTTTTTCAGTCGTCACGTCCTGCCGGCTCTTCGCGAATTATAGATGTTCTCGTGTTCACCTTTCTTGGCCTTCCACGTTTTCCTTTGCAAATTAAACTCGATGCTGCGTGCTGGTGCTGTTGCTGATGTGCTGCACTAATACCTAGGGCTTTCCTCTTTGGCCACTGGAGATGTGAGTCCAAGTGCTGTTTCAGTTTGTCCTGACGTGCAAACATACGTGGACATAGACTGCAGGCAAAGGGCCGCTCTCCGGTGTGAACTCTTCGGTGTCGTGCCAGGTGTGAAGCTCGGGTAAATGCCAGGGTACAGAGATCACAGGGAAATGGTTTGTACTGTGCTTTATTCTTCGCCTGTGCTTTACGATCTTTCGGAGTGCTACCGGAATTGCTTACGGTTTTACTTATCACCGATTCCTCTTTGATGTCAGGCCCTTTTGTTATTTCCTCCATATTTATGTCCAACGGTGAGTCCTGGAGAATTCAGAATATTTTTGTCAGTCAAATTCGAGGTACTCATCGAAATATCGATGATATTCGCTGTTATATTGCCAATGGAGGAAGATAGAAATATTTTTATAGAGACATTTTTTGTAGCTCTCTTTTTTATCTTTGAAAAATGTTTTCATCGAAATATTGAGATCTTCCTTCAATTCCGAGATATTAGCTTAAAACGATTTAGTAGTGAAGAAATTGAAAATTTTTTTCTATTTTTCAAGTTTTCTTTTTTTTTTTTCCATCGTTTTTCCATGTTTAAATACGCAAATTAAAGAAACAGAATAATATTTCATAATTATTTCCATTTATATGATCCAATTATTTGGATTAATAATCTTTTTTATTTAAATAAAGCTACAACCAAAGATTTCTAATTTAATGAAAGCCCCAGTGAAATCTGAATTTCAGTTCAATCAGTTCAATCATTCCATGAGAATCGATGAGACTCCAAAATTCTCATGAACAATTCCTTAAATTTTCAATTAATTAACTTACAATTAGAGTGTCTTTGTTCCCACAAGAAGAATGTGTCATTTCATAAGTTCTCCTTTTCAAATTAATTAAAAAAATCGTTCTATTTTCTTACTCCATTCGATCTGCCTGGATCCATCGAGTCTTCATTCATCTGTATAGCTGGCACTGTCGGATCCTGACTGCTATTGAACGTTCCAGACTTCATAATGTCAGATTCGTTGTCATAAGTTTCACTCTCCTGTCTCCTCTCTGCACTTTCGTTGTCTTTCATTACCCGACTAACTCCACGTTTTTGCCCCTCGAATCGAGTGTGACGTTTAAACATGGGTGGAGGTATGTGCCTCTGAAAACGAATAACAAATAATTCTCAAATGTCCACACATTTTTTCAACAATACGAGTAATAACAATCAGCTAGTGCTGATATTTTCCCCAAATTTGACACAAAAATTGAAATTTCGAATGACAATTATTGAAATTTCGTTAAATGATTAAATAAAATAAAATACAAAATTAGATGACTGGCGAACATACGATTTGTTCTTTTGCCAGGGGCAGGGGTTCCTCGAGGCTGTCCTCGTGTCCCTCCATGATCATGGGGTCATCTTCAACCTCAATCTCCTCCAGCTTGACATCACTAACTAGGGAACTACCGGATTTCGACAGGAATGGAATAGCATGGGCTTTCCTGAACTCCATCTGATGCAATCTAGTCTCCACCTGACAGCCCTGACCCCTGGATTCAACCCTGGAGTAGCTATTGCTGTCAACGCTGCGTTGGTCCCCAGAGAGTCCCCGAATTTCTAGGTCCGTTGCTGTTTTTATCAGGGATGGCAAGTGCTCTTCAGCTACATTTATAGAGCCCCGATACATAAAATCTAGGAGACACTCCATTTCCTCGATTGGAACACCTGAAAAATGGATTTCATAAATTAAAAAAAAAAGACTCCACCATTTAATCCTAAAAATTCATTCTGCATTCGTTCATCAATCTCTAAATCAGCGATAATTCCCACTATTAATTAATTCAATACCAATTATATTTAAGCTGTGGAAAGAAAATTGATGTTCTGATGACGACTGGGTCTTATCCAATTTTACATTCCAAATGACTGATCAACGGTTTTGTCTCGACGAATAAATTTTTTTCTCAGTGGCCAGTACCTTTGAGAATGAGGATCGGCTGTTCCCCATAATGTTCCTTAAAAACCCTCTCAAAATAAGGACTGCAGGCTGCCAGAACGAGTCTGTGTGCACGTAGCATACCCCCCTGACAAGCCAGTGTCGTATCAGTCAGAGATCCACTCTTATAAAGTCCCTCAAATAATCCCGAGAGATTCGCCAGGTGATTATTCCACGTTAAATTAAAAGTCTTCTCCCCCATCTTCCACTTGCTCAGCAAATTCTGAAAAAAAATAAATAAATAAATAAATAATCACCAAACAATCAAAACTGCTCCATCAAAATCCTCACTTCCCCCAACTTGTTAAAAATAATTATTCATTTTACAAACATACATTCACTCAATACTAGATTGCTGAAAACAGAATTTTGAAAATTTAGTTTCAATATCGGTACGTGTTGAACTCCTCCCGCGAAAATAGCGCGAAATAGCTGTCTCACTTTCCCCTTGTGTTTGTAAACTCGAGTTCGTGGAGTGAAGAGAGGAAAAGGGGGAAAATTCAGTGGAGGCATATGGAGGGCAGAGGGTGGTAAAAAAAAAAGGGGGTGGATGGTGACAGAAAAGGGGGTCGAGGGGGAGTAAGGGGGTTGAGAATAAACGCAAGGACCATGTGGTCATGCGCAAAAGGGAGGTTTCATCGACTCGATCCATAATTTCGTTGTTGCCCTCCGCACAACTTCCATTCCTAGCCCTTTAAAACCCCAATTTTCACTTTTTTCCAAAATCCCTAAAATCCTCATTTATTCTCCTCTAATCCAATCCTTCTAACTCTTATGGATCATTATCCGGCTGAATTCTTCTCATCCATCTCCATCTGTTTTGATCTGATACCTGTGATGGGTGGGGCCCTGCGAAATAAATTACAGTCAAACCTTCAATTCTCATTGACATAATCAATAAATCGAGATTTTTACACCAAACCCAGTGAATACGTGTTTTGTAGAATAACAGTTTGGATTAGGTATCCGTTTCTATAATTAGCACCGATGCATGCACCGAAGCCTTCCGGTATAAAACGTTTTCATCGTTGACATTCCACTCTAATTCGTAATACTTAACTTGATGTATCAGCGAAAATTTCTTTGACGACACAATGTGGGGTTTCCCCCTTGCATGTAAAAACAGCAATAATAAAAATGTGTCGATTTAATTTTTTCAACTTTCACGTGTAAATCGGATAATTGTCGATTATCGTATGATTATATCGGGTAATTGAACAATTCGGCAATATTTAATGCTCGATTAATGGCTCGTGCCCCTCATTGCGACCCCGCGCACACGACAGCTAAAATTTCTATTAATACCGCGCTTGGCACACGCTTGCCACAAGCTTCCATATACCGATACCAAACTATTTACCCGTACACTAAAATTTCGATATTACACGTTCATTCATGGACTCACCTTCAATGTTCCGATAAACAATCACTCCAACTTATCCGGTGTTACTCCTATTTCTTTGGTATTCAAAGCCCCTGGAATAAAGTATGCGCGTCAATAATAAAATCAGACATATCTCCCTTAAAAATGACAATTTTGAGAAAATCCAAAATTTTTTCTGATGTTTTTTCGAATGTCACGAGGTAAATGGGCCTTTCTGAAATTAATATGTAATTATCTCGTTCTAAAATTCGAATTAAAAAAATTATTTTTCATATTTATAAGATAATTACACCACTCGAAATTTAATTATCAAATCAGTTTTTTTTATTAGTCATTTTTTTTTAAATGCTACGATCAATTGATTCCACAGAAATTTCTTAATTACCGCAACTCCTAATTGCATCTACTCGTTAATTTACTACTAATCATCAATTCTAAAATTCACTTATGAACCGATAAAAATCATTTTATTTTCAATTTTCCTCATACATTTTATAATTCCACTCAATCTCATGTAAC